AAATCCTTTCCTTCCCCAAAGATTCCATCCCGCCCCCCCCCCCCCCCCCCTCCGTCCGCACAATCACCTACAGTACCCATATCTTCCCATTGGCGTAGTCCCTCACCCCCACTACTACCATCATCGATCATCCAAACTTTCTTCCCCTTCGTCAGATCCGCAAAATAACACCGCTCCCCCCCCAACTTCAAAATACGTCTTCCCCCATCACCCGATCTGCAGGTCGAGGCCGGGGATGCTTCCCAAGATCACCATGGAGACGCCAAGCACAACGTACGCGCCCAGCTTAAAGAACCAGAAAGACGGCCTGCCCAACCCCACCTGCAGCGCCATCATGGGCCACAGGTAAAACATGCCCAAGAATGCGCCGGCACAAATGGACAGCGTGTTCTTGTAGTACGTGTCGAACCCGTTGTGCAGCGTCCAGTCTGTTGGGTTGGGTGTGGATCGTGATTCGGCGCGAGGGACAGCGGGGGGCGGACGCGCAAGGCCAGGCGGGGAGAATCCGCGTAAGCATGGTACACACATGCAACCTGCACTATATGAATGACGAGGCAATGATACCCGCAACAGCACCGTCGCAGCAGAACGCTGCTTCACTTTTTGCCAAGCCTGGCGGCATCGCCAAAAAATACTTGATTGTATCATACATACACTCAAGACACACGCAAAACAATTGCAACACACAGAACAACGCACACACCAACCCTCAAATAACGCTGTTGCCAATACTGCAGCAAGTATCGTATCCTGGGGGAGGGGACAACCGTGGAATTTGCGGGGGAACTACGCATATGATACATGATACTTGCAAGTACAATATGTATTTTGTACTCACAGACTGCTCCGGCGATGGCAACGAATTGTGCGGCGAAGACGAGGGTGAGCGGCCAGGTCGGCACCCTAGCCACCCAGGCGTGGTCGGGGTTGCCTCGGATAAGCCTGGTCCAGGACACCTGATCATCATCATCATCATCATCAAGCATCATGAGATCGGTGCATCAGGCATCATGCATCAGTCAGTAGACTGCGCCACAACGCAAGCAGCATCAGAATTCAGCATGGTCAACACGCAACACAGTCGCCCGTAGGGATGCCATTGTGACAACACCGACACAAAAGCCAGCAACAATACTACACAAGCGTCACATGTGATTCAACGTTGTTCGATGGCAAGCAAGGCCACGCAAGGCTACAAACTGGCACACAGCCACCAGCATCGATGAAACCGTTGAATGTTCCCCAAGGAGGTAGGTTGATGGATCGGTCACCTGAAGGAAGGCGTAGATCTGCACGTAGGTAGTCGAGAGCCAAGTCTGCTCGTCACGCGTAAGGCGGTGAGAGTCGATCGACCTCCACTGTGCGGAGATGACGGTGGGGAGAACCGCCGTCACGATGAAGGGCACGAAGTCTGTTCGTTCCACGTTCGTTCGTTCGACAGAGACGACAACAACAACACCAACACGGACGACGTCAGTGAGAAGCACGCTTCTGGGGGGAGGGGCGTTCGGGAACGTGCGCATACAGCGGGAGGTCGTGCAAACATGGCAAACATGGCGAGGATGATGCGTGCTTTAGCAACGAGCACAATCAAGTCAAGTCACTATTGCGGCTGCTGGTTCTGCAGCGGACAGACCGGGCTACAGCCACAGATAGTTGCCACATATGGTAGCCGTTTGACGAACAAAGTCGAAAGAGTAGGATCTCCCAGGAAAACACCAAATACTGTTTTGCTGTACCTCTCGGGGTATGCTCCTATACAAAAGTCAACACATACCAAGTAAGCAAGCAAGACCAGCGTTGCAACTCTGGCACAATACTAATACTCACAGGAGAAGTAGGAGGTGATGTCGGTGTTGAACGGCGGCTGTCCCGTCACCCCGTACACCACAGGCATCAGCAGAAGGACGTATCCGGGGATGGCCTGCACAAAACACGGACGACAGCACCCGCGGTAGGATGAGAGTGCCATCAGCAAAAAAATGTCAACCTTTCAGACGCTACCATAATACACGCACAGGTTTCATCGCTCGACACAAGAGTCTTTGAAGGCAAAAACGTCTAGGTCGTGTTGCACTACGGCACAGTTTATGGTGATATATGTATTTAGTGTTGACGGATATGCTCGCGATGCTGCGGCGGCAGTGACGTTGCAATCTAACCTGCAAGTAGTAGGTGGCTTGGTCGAAGGCGTACATCCGGTGGAAGACGGTGGGGAACGATCCTCCGAAGCTCGTGTAACGGAGGCCCTGATAACGAAAAGACAAAACAAAACAAAAGAGGGAACCACAACGAGCGACGACGAGGGCCGAGCGATACAGAGAAGACAGAGACATCGTCGGCATACGGTTCAAATTTTACAAGTAAATACATCCAAAGGCTCCAAAACGGAGGGAGCCAAAAAGGATTTCTGAATAGTATCGCACCATACTAGGAATCAAATCACCTACATGCAATCACACCACAACGTGGAAAATCGGTAAACGGCGTGTTTTAGGGTATCGTATCATAGGATATGGCACGTGTATTCAGTACATGTCACACTACCAGCAGGCAGGGGCTACTATTATAGTATATAAGCTACGTACTGAGGTTCATGCATAAAAGGAAACTAGAAGCAGTGTACAATACGCAGCCACCGAATCGTTTGTATTGGGTCTCTTGCGGCTGTGCTGATTGATCTATCTACCTTGGTGTAGAGGAGCTGAACGGCGCCTTGGTGCCACCGCAGGACCTGCTTGATGCGCCACGTGAGGTTGGTCGGCTGGTGCGTGCACCAGGCCAATACCTCTCCCGGCTCGTTCACGTACACGCTGCGCCACCCCTGCCGAGAAACAGCAAGAGCAAGACATCACAGAGCACAAAGACAGCGGTAGACGCATCGAGGTGAGCAGCGTGGCTGGCGGGTGAGCATTGCACTCGGCGTTTGGAGCAGCGCGAAAGGCGTCAGAAGTATCTGACATATCCGACGTGGTCCCAAGAAAAACGCGGCACAGCAGTAGTTGTACGGCAGTCATGACTAGCGTATACAATAAATAGTGACACGATGCATACGCGTCAAGTGAAATATTTTCCAACCGAACACCTGCTAGAAACAGGGAGCGCAGGAGGACGTGTAAAGCACTTTCGGTCGCAATTGTCGGAGATTTCGCTCTCGCATCCAACAAACCCTCTTTGCAGCCTGCTCCTACAGTACATACCAGCCGCCTAAAAAATTCCAACATTCAAAGCACGGCAAGGCATGTTCACAAGTCACATGCACCTGTCGGAACAGCTCGATGGAGGTGTGCGTGTCCTCGATAAGCATCTCCGCTCGGAAGCCCAGCTTCTTCCCCACCAGCCCCAGATCCTTGGGATCGACACCGGTCTTGCCATCGGGAGACCTTCCCTTCAAGGCCTCCACACGCCACAGGCTGCCCTGTCCACTCGAAGACACTGCGCCGATCCCGTCCTTCCCGATGTTGATGACGTCGTACTGAGATTGATACCAATACCAAACACGCAACGGGGCGACAACACACCAGGTTGAGGTCAGCACGTTGACACCACGGCCACCATGACATGCAACGGTGCGGTACATAACCATCGCCGCTTAGACCCCGGCGACACGGCAACTCCAACGAGAATGTTCAAACCCGAGCCAGTCAACCCCCCCTTTTTTTTTGTCCTCACTTCAAATCAGCGCTCACAGCACTTGTGCAGTATACTCCAACGCATGGTCATACAGAAGGGTTTTCCTCCCTGAGGCGCCCTTCCCACCCCTCCTGCGGTGCTTTCCCTTCGATTCTTAATGCGACAAGAGTGCAGCACTCTCTTCCGTCTGTATACACAAGAACTAGCGCTTTCCCACCAGGCTAGGGACGGAAGCGAGAGAAAAGCCCACTTTGCAAGAAAAACTCGGTTACGCCGGTATTCTAACCCTTGACCCCTGGCCACTGTTTTCGAGGTTTCCAACTAGAACAAAAATAGGTACATATGTAGCCGTACAATACGCAACCAAAATACACGACTCAAAGCTACTCTGGTCAAGGTGTGTCACGATTAGCGACAGGGAAAAAAGGACCTAACTGGCCGTGAATGTCTGGTCTACTTGTCTGTCTTCACCTGTGAAGCAGCGTGGTTGCCCAGTGGGTCGTCGGGTAGATCTTTCCTGAACCGTTGTGGCGTTTGCACGAATGCCACCTATTGAGACAGAGACAGAGACAGAGACAGAGACGGACCCATAGTGTCACAAGAGCAACGACATCGGGCATCACCATCATCGTTTTGATCAATCTTCTTTCGTGTGTGTCATCACACACACATAACACAAAATGAATCGGGTGCATGTTTCTCTCCAGATACGCATCGCCAAGGAATACATCAAACCATGCTCCCCGAAACAAGGTTCGTTAGCGTAGCGTAGGCACAACAGGTTATCTCGCAATACGTCCCGTCCAAGCGCCGGCTGTCACAGCTATCCCACACACGCACCTTGGCCCACTTGTACTGTTGGGTGATGGCATCAACGTCGAAGAAGTAGGGGGTTGTCCTTTGCAGGAACTCCGGTTGCAGCTGGTGCCTCGCGTCGTTCACCACGACGATGGTGCTGGGCCCGATCAAGGGCGGAGAGGTGGGGTCGTCTATGGGGAACATGGCCGCGTTCTGCTCGCGAGACACCGTGAGGCCAGGCCCCGATGGAAAGCGAAGGAAGGACATGCGAAAGCGACAAGGGCAGTAGTTGGACGGGATTAGCTTGAGCTCGCTCGGAGAGGATAGGTGACGGGAAGAGGGAAAATCGAAACACAGCCGGAGAGGGCACAAAAAAACGCCTCGGTGCAGACGAGACGAATTCAGCACCATTTCAAGTTGGACGAGACAAATTCATCACCACAAAAAGTTTGACGAGACAAATTCAGCACCGTATCATAAGGTGGCAGACGCACCATTGAGAGCCGCGCGCACGCGCCGCTAGAAGTGGTATCAAATGCATCCGACGTTCGTCTTCTCCCCGTACCGTAGGACCCCAAAACAAATCAAAACCTCCCGTGTCCACACTCACCATGTTCCCTGCCTTGGGACTGATCCTGGGGGTACCGGCGTCCTTCCTCGAGTAGTAGATCATGCACGCCGCCTGCTTGGCCTGCCCTCGGAAGACCTGGAAGAAGCCCGGGGTGATGTGCACGCTCTCGTCCGCAAGCAGGCTGACGCCGTGCGTGAGTTCTTCGACCTCGTCCCCCTCCTTCGACTTGGAGATGTCCTCGTCCAGACCTTGGTTCAGGAACGACTGATTCCGGTCCAGACGGTAGAGGTCTCCGCCATCGTCTCCCGTGACGAGGTCATCCATCTGACGCACCATGGCCACCGCACGGCTTAGCCTGACACACGTGTGTGGCAGCGTTTCGGTCGATAAATGCAAACAAAGGATTTTTAGTGGCGGGTGTTATGCTATAATAGGAGACAAGTGTGCGAACCACTGCGCGCTATCGTCATGGCCACCGCACGGCTAAGCCTGACACATGGACGACACACAAGTGTGCGGTAGCGTTTAGGCCGAAAAATGTGAACAAAGGATTGCAGAGTCGGAATTTTTGCTATTATTGGAGGCAAGTATGTAACCACGAACGGCTTTGCGCGATATCGTATATCGATCGTCGACGCGTTTGGTCCCCGCGCGTCGCGGTCATACTGGTACCGCACAATTTTCGGTGCGAGAGAGAGAGAGAGAGAGAGAGAGAGAGTGCGCATCATGTGGAGAGGAAGCACAAACCAAGATACTTCGAAGTGTAACCATTGCTCAACAGAGGTGATGGAGCTGGCCTGCTAGTACGAGACAAGCTGGCAGATCGATCGGGAACCACACAGCAGTGAATGCATGCACATGTACAGCAGTACCTGGTACATGTCAAGCAAACAACAAATGGTTCTTACCCGACGTCCTTGAAGATGTGCACTTTGCCGAAGCCGCGCTTCTCGTGGCACCACTCGTAGAACGCCAGGGGCGTAAGGTTGCGGACGCCCTCAGCCTGCAGGATCTTTCTTGTCGACGGCGCGAGGATCTGAGTGCTCAGCGCGTGCACCCCCGACGTGAGCATGTACACCTCCTGCGGACGCCGAAATAGGGTCGAGGGTAGTGAATTGACGTACCACATGATACATGGAGGGATGACACGGGTGAACCGGAAGCGTCAAGTGGGATTGTGCAGTGGACATGCCATGTACGTGCTTGTACTAAACGGCAAAGCATTCTTTCATTCGAGACGGTTCGTTCTTCGCGTCTTACTTGGTGCCTCGCAATCCAGAAAAAAATAATAATACGCCTGGACAATAAACCAGATTGCCGCACCGACTCGACAGGGCCTCTACATGTCTCCTGTCTCTGTCCCGGTCACGTCCTACTACAATACGAAACACGTCCACAACCAACAGGTGATCGTTCATCTTTGAATAGCAAAAAATTGCGTTTGAACATTTAACGTCCGACGTTCGACTCACCATGGCAACGCTATTGCTGCAACTCCTTTCTAACTCCTGTTGGATGTGCAAGCTCCACAAGTACCTCCCCAGCACACTACCTAAACCAACGCTGGAGATACGCAGATTTGGTAGATTTGGTACATGTGTGGGTACCTTCCTGCGCTTCTCGTCCAACACGATGACTCGAAGCCCGTCTCCTCGCCCCATCTTCGCCGCCGAGCTGGATGGCCAAGAGCGTTGACTCGATGCTCCCAAGAGGCACTTGAGCACGACGTCGAGCCGCTCTCCCGCCGTGGGGAGGAGAATGGCCACCACCGCGTTCGCTCCCACAGCTGGGTCGATCTGAGGTATGTAATGAAGGTGCCATGTCGCGAAAAAACGAACGAAAAAAGGTTCACTTCACATCCAAACCCCGGAAAGGAGCACCGCCGTGCTAGGCAGACCAGAAGCAACCTGAGGGGTATACCCTAGATACCCTTGATGAAGACCTAGAAGGGACATTCCGCAAAAAGATAAAGTCAACTCATGTACAGCTCATGCAACTCATGGAAGGCTACTAGGTTCGAAGAGAAGCTGCCACGACTCTCTGACTGTAGAATCTCCCCGCACCCCCTCCCGACCCCATGATTGCCGTTTCGACTCTCTCTCACCGACACGATTTGGTCCATTGTTGTCCGAATGCGCTGCACCGCGAACAGTCGTTGCGAGTGTCCCAGCCAGATGGCGAAGAGCAGGAACACCTCCACCATGAAAAACACCCACCACCACCACTTGTACTCTGGAGGCACGTCTTGCGTCTTAAGGAACCGCCATACCATATCTGTGCCCGGGTGCGCCCCCAAGACATCCATCAAAATAAGTAGCCAATCGTTTATACATAGCAGCCAATCGACACAGCGACAGCAGTAGCAGCGGCAGCGGTCAACAGCGGCATGGGGGAGGGCGGGGGGAGTACAAAGTGATGAAATAAAATTATCGCGGGGAACTAGAGATCAGCCTGTCAGGCAACCGTACATTTCCTGCATCGCGCAGAGGTTCAATCCAAGAAAGGGTTTGCGTCTGCAAAGTGCGTGTCATCGTTCTGTTTGTCTCCGTCCCTTCCACACACACCCCTCCCCCCCCCAAATTCAGCCAACAAGGGCTTGAAAACTATGGTGGGAATCGGGACGGGGGGCCTCAAGGGCTTTTCGGTCGGAGAGCTATCATACAGCAGTTTGCGTATGCATACGTACGGGTTTGAAATACACAAGTGACCGAATCGTTCTCATTCGAAAATATTGAGTTAACATAAACGTCCTAACGTCGCCTTCCGTTCGATTTTTGCTTTGCCCTTTTGCGCCCAGGTCATTTTGTATTTCATACTGTACTCAAGTAAATATGAAGGGGGGAGCATACATGAAAAGGGCTTGGCGCACCCTCGTCCGGGTGTCTCAGGTCAACACATAGACTAATCCACCCCAAGTGGTCCACCGATTTGAATCTGGAACAGTTCTATGGGCGCGCGGGGGGGGGGGGGGGGGGACCCGAAAACAAACTTTTGGAAAAAAAAAAAACCCGTCTACCCCACACCAAAAAAAAAACGGGGCCGGCTGGCCCCCGGCGTTTGGCCCCATTGGAAACAATGACCACCATGGCCAAACACAAACGAACCCAACCTTGGGAAAAATGGAAAAATTCCCGGGGGGGGTTGGGGGGGAACGCCAAAACCAATGGCCCCCAGTGATGCAACAACCTGGCGGGAAAAACCCCCCCCAAGGCCCATGGCCCTCTTTCTTTTCCGGGTCCTCCTGGGGGGGGTTTTTTTGGCCAGGGATTTTATTTTGATTTATTTT